CTAGAGATCCTGGAGCTTGTCCAGTGCCCTGCCTGGACTGGTAGCTTCCTCTCCATTCCCCTCAAGTTAGTTCATTCACCAAACTCATCAGGCTCTCACCTAGCTACACTGACTCCTGCCTGGGTACAGGAATCCCTGAGGTTGTCTGTACAGCGGCTCTCAGGAGAGGCGAGGTGAGTCAGCTGGAGGGGTGGAAACAGCGTGCGTAAGTTGAATCATGTTAAATCCCCTGTGTGAAGGTTGCCATATGGGAGTCCCTTGTGTTGAACTACATCCTGTTCGACACGGACCACAGGGTACTTCCACATGGGGACCTCTGCACAGGGTGTCAATCCACTGTAACCAGTGTGCTTCCCTGTCTGCCTCTCCTCTCCTGAGAGTTCCCAGATCAGCTGGCCCCCAAGTTGATGCTGCCCCGGTTTCGTGGCTCACTTTAGATCGCTGATCTTGTTCACCCCTTCCCTTTATTTCCTTCTGGGACCAGACTTGATGATCTTATAGGTCCATTCCAGTCCTTCTTTCTGTGATTCTTTATGATTCCCATGCATTCTGGACTGTTGGCATCCACCCGGTTCCCTTACCTCTTTCCCATATTCCAGTGGAAGCTCGAGGGAATAAAGCATCTTTGGGAAGTCCCCAGAGGTTGTAAGGCGGGGCTTTTGGCTGGCTTCTGAGGGGGAAATTCTGTGTGTCCTTGGCTGGCTGAGTGGTTTGCCCCTGGTGCTGGCCTCTGCAGCCATTATGCTTGTCTAAATTTTGGGGTGCTTTGGTACTTGCTCTAGAGGGGACTACTTTGTAGGACTGACGCAGGCAGCTCAGAATGCTGCTTTCATTAACTCGCTTTCTTCTCTCTTCCACTCAGAATCTGTTACCAGCCCCGTTAGTGCTGCCCACCGTTCACGAGCTAGATCTCTTCAGGTAAGAGTGAGCTTCTCTCAGCACAGTCCCCCCTTTCTGCCTCCTTCCTCTCTGCTCTCAGTGGTGTTAGCTGATTGGGAGGGTGGCGGTTATCAAATGTGATCACAAAGTTGTTGCTGGCGAAGAGCCTCAGTCTGGTGGGTTGGTGGGGGTCATGCAGTGTTTAAGGGACCTTCACAGGATGGAGAGGAGCACCTGACTGTCACAACATGGTCTTCTTATTTTCTTTTAGGAGCGTTGTCTCGAGCCTCACCCTGTGTCTTGCTTTTTCTCACTAACAGATGCTTCCAGCCACTGCTGATTCACATCCAGATGCTGTGGGAGCTCATGCTACTGGGGGAGCCAGTTGTTGTAATGGCACCATCTCCTACTGTTTCCTCAGAAATCGTTCTGGCCCTTACCAGGTACTTGGCATGAATTCTGGTTTGCAAGTGACTGAACTGAATGAGCCTGTTAATCCTCCTCCCTTGAGAATCCTCACCCTGTGAAGTGATTTGCTTATGATTAATGTGTACATGAAAGTACCATATTTTCTAGTGTACGGACACACTTTCCCCCAAAAACCGGCTGCTGAAAATGTTGGTGTGCATTAAATGCAAGAAATCTGGTAATAACAGTTTCTGCTGCTATCACAAAAAGTACAAGTAAAATCTGCAGGCTACTACCAGGGTGCAGACCAATGACCAGACACTGCTCGCTAGCTGCTGCTACTCGGTTACCACAGGGAAAGATCTCTCTTTCTTCATTCAGCCTTTTAAAAACAAGGGGTGTGTTTCTATTCCAGGGCATGTTGTATGTGAGAAAATAAGGTATATTCGTAAGATGGGAAACAGCATCGTTATTTTGTTCGAAAGAGACTTGTTTCTGTTTTCATAGAATTGTAGAAAATAAGGGTTGAAGGGATCTAGGAGGTCACATCCAGTCCAACCCCCTGCTCAAAGCAGGACCAGCCCCAAGTACATCATCCCAATGTCAGAACTGGGAAGAGAGCAGTGATTCGGCTTGCCTGTTGGTGGGAGAGGTGTTGGTTTTGAAACCAAATGCAAGTTCTCCTCTTCTCAGTTTTAAAAGCTGCCTCAATTTGGAGAGGAAAGCATGTCCCAACTGTCTCCTTTGACAGTACACGTGACCTAGTTCCTCTTTAGGGTTGAGCTGCCTTAAAAGGGAGGGTCACCTGGTTCACCCCCTTTTCCTTCACTGTTGTTCTTGCAGCTGTCTGGCTCCTCTAAAATATTGCTGTGACTACCGCCCATATTTCACCATCCACGACAGTGAGTTTAGGGAGTACACCACCAGGACGCAAGCCCCGTGAGTACCCTAATGGTCCCCTGTCACAGAGACTGCTCATTTATCACAAATACGTTATGGGTCCCTTGGCAGTAGTATTGCTCAAGCTTCCCCCTTCTTCTCTCTACAGGCCAAACATCGTCGTGGGAGTAACAAATCCTTTCTTTATCAAAACACTACAGCACTGGCCACACATCCTTCGGGTTGGAGAGCTCAAAATGTCAGGTAAGGGGTATCCCACAAGGCTGTCTTGTTACTTTAGACAGTTTTTTTCTATAGGGAAGTGGCTTTTATAGATTCAGGGCACTCCCAGTCAGGTACATATATCTCTATCCTTACGAAGATCAGGGCACCAGAAAGGGTAGACCAGGCTTCTTGATCTCCCACTTGCTTGATGTGCTGAGTTCGAAGAGTCAGAAACTCATTAGTAAATTGGAACAAGCTTAGTGTTTCTTTCCTTCTGCACCTTAAGGACGTGAAAGGCTTTTCTTGGGAAAGATGGTACAGGGGAGCAGGAGAGAAGGGCCTGGAAGGGAGAACCAGGTGTTATCACTTGGAAAGCTGAGTTTGGCTGTAGCATGGACTAAGGCATTCTTTTCCACAAGACCCCCTCATCCTTGGCTTCCTGCGAGCACCCTTGACTTGTAGGATCAGTCGGAGAGCTCCCTTGGCCCCTGGGATGCCAGCACTAGCTCGGGGCTCACATCACAGGAGGATGAAGTCTAGATTCTGTAGTGTGAGCCCTCCCTTACATTCCCTGCTGAAGAGGAGGGCTCTGGAGCTTTTATAACCTGCTGCTCGCCGGCGTGTGTCTTTCCGCAGGCGACTTACCCAAGCAAGTCAAGGTGAAGAAACTAGCCAAACTGAAAACTCTGGACACTAAGCCGGGTAACTGCTGTTCTGTGTCAGATATGGTTTGACTGCATTTATGCTTGTTTTCGGTTGAGGTGTGGGTCTCGCAACGGTGTAGGCATCATGGGTGTTACCCGCCATCCCTTAACGGATGGGAGCTCCAGGGCCTCTGGGCTGCTTCCAGTCGCGATGCAGTTATTCTGAGGAGCCTTGGCTTCCTCTGTCCCTCACTTGAGCCGGGTCTTCTTCCTAGCCTGGGCTCTCTTGAGCCCTCTGCTATTATAACTTAGCTCTCTAAAGGCTTCTGATGTAGAGAAAAGTCTCAGGAAATGGAAAGGCTTTTCCTCTCTTGGTTTGGAAATCCCATTAGGGTGACTAAGAAAAGAGAAGCCTTGGAGATGGTAGAAGCAGCTTCATAGGTTTCTCCAAGCTGTCATAGTAAACCAGTGATTTGAGTGGCTCTCCCTTATTTAGGGCTCTGTAGGTGGATTGAATCACCCACCTGTTTTCCTTTCCCTGGCATGCCTACTCTTTTGCCCCCCTCTCTAGCAATACAGCTAAGTTTTGGCTTCAGTTCTCCTTAGCTCACTCAGCCATGCTGCAGCATTGCCCCTCACGCTGTATGTGAGCTGGGAGCCTCAGGCTAAGGCAGGTCCTGGAAGTGGCAAAAAGCACCCGTTTCCATCTCCACCTGGCCAGAAGACACTTGCTTGTCCTTCAGAGAGCCACGTGTTGGGGTCTGAAGCCAGTTATATTTCCTGTGGTAGCAATGTAGAACCTGGTTTGCATAGCAGCAAAGATCACAGAAGTACGTCACACCAGTGTGCTCCTCCCTGCACTGCACTGCCTCTCCCTTGGTAGTGGAGCTCAGTCTCTCCTCATGCTCTGAGTGACCTTCATCCTCAGAGCCTGGCTGCCTCATCACTGGGACCTCCCAGGATAGCTTTATTCCACTGAAGAAATGAAACTAGGGCAGTATGGAAAGGCTCATGAATGCGGGGGACAGGACTTCTGGGGAGGTCAGGCATGGAGTAGGGAAGTCCCTTGTGGAGGAGCCAAGACCATGGGTTGTGCCACGCTTCCAAGTCATCCCTGAGACTTTTAACTAGCTCCCATGAGGTGTGCAGCACATCTCCTCCACAGGCCATCACCAGTAGAGATGCATTGGATTTTCTGTCTGACAGGTTGAGGGGCAACTGAGAGAGTTTTATTTTTGTTTTGTGTATCTGGGGTGGGGGCATTATATTGTGATGAGAGCCAGTATTACCCAGCTGGGGAGGTGCACCTGTGTGCCTATAAACTAGTCAGCTTGGGTTTCATCCAGGGCTAACTCCATTGGTTACATGACAGGGGAGCCTCGGGCTGCTGAGAAATGCTCAAGTTTAATCCAGTCCTGAGTGTCACTTGTAGCAGCAGCTCTGGTGATCTCAGGAGTCTTTTCAGTTCGATTTCTCCTAACAGTTTATGACCCTTGCTGGAAAATTCTCCTTTGCTCACAACTGAAACCCTACTATATTGATTCATTCATTTACTAGATGTATATGCCACCCTCCCCAAAATAGGCCCATGGGAGGGTCTTACAATATAAAACAAGATATATTTTAAAATATTTTTATAATTTATGATTTTTACTACCTTTAAAAATGGTGCATGGTGGATGGTGATCTCTCTCTCTAGGAATCTACACGTCTTACAAGACTTTTCTGCACAAAGACAAAACTCTGATAAAGAGGCTGTTGAAGGTAGGTGCTTCCTGTCTGTCTCCTGTATCTCCTGATGGGGAAGTAGGGAACAAGAGGCTGTATTTAACTGCTGAAGCGCATGATTTCTGTCTCTCATGGGTCAGCCTATATTATACGACCATGGGTTTATATTGCCCCAGAACACTCTTGTCCTGCTGCGCTAGGATTTTTCACCTAAATTAAATCCTGGTGCCTATTTAGCAGGGGAGGTGAGAGCTGATCATATTCTGAAGAGTTAAGCCATCTAATGTGAACGAGATCTCATGTTGATGTCTCATGTGCGCGGATCTTGCTCTGGGCAGTACGTGGGAGCATGCACAAAACTGATTTATCCAGCTGGGTCCTCCACTGCCAGTAGTCGCAGCATTCAGGTTGAGAATGCTGCACGCACTTGCATGACCTCCGTACGTAGCTGTCAAAGCCGCTGACTGAAAAATGTTGTCACCTTGAGCTCCCTGCTTTGCTGTAATGTCTGTCTGCCTGCAGGGGATTCAGAGGAAGCGCCCATCGGAAGTCCAGAGCGCCCTTCTGAGGCGTCACCTCTTAGAGCTGACCCAGAGTTTCATCATCCCCCTGGTGAGTTCAGGGTGATCTGTCAGATGGAGGAATGGGAGGGGATGAATGGGAATGCTGCTGTATACCTTCCGTAGTGTCTGAGCAGCCATCGTGGATTCAGATATGTCACACCAGTGCGCTCTTAGAGGGTCACGTCGCTCTTAGAGAGGAACAGGTCTGTCATAAAATCATCATCGTAGAGAAGTCGGGGTGGCAGGGACATCCAGTGGTCTCTTCTAGTCCAGTCCCCTGCCTGAGGCAGGATTATCTGTATCCAAACCATCCTATACAAACCATCATCTAATCTCTTAGTAAAACTGCTGCCAAGCCTGTTACAATATGAGATGCAACACCTTTACCTGCCCCAGGTAAAGCAGGGAGACCACAGCAGCCAATGTCCTGCTTTTATAAAAGGTTATTAATATAAACTTAAGAGATCCTAGGCAGAGGCTGTGCCCCTGCTGAAGAGGAGGGAGAAAACCCCATCAATCTCTACCAATTTGGCCAGGGGGTAAAATTCCTTCCTGCCCCCACTGCAGCATCGGTCTGACCCTATGCAGAAGAGCAAGACCCTCAAGCCAGGACTCTGCAGGGTTGATCCCAGCAGGAGCATTGGCACAGTCCAGTCCCTATCCCCAGCCTGGGCTGCAGCCAGCACCCAGTGCCTCTGAGGGAGGCTTAAAAACCCCTTGACAGAGCAAAAAGGGCAAGGGGTAGCAATTGGCACTGCCCAGAAGCCTGGGAAATTCCCATAGCAGAGCACAGGCATCGCTACTCCTAGGTCATCTCTGCTCAGTGGCTGCCCACCCTCTCCTTGAGCACCTCCAGGGATGAGGAGTCCACGACTTCTCTGTCTGTTGATAGGCAGGTTCTAGGGCAGACCTGTCCAGTCCCAAGAGTTGATGGGTGGCATGGGGCTGGTCTGCAGGCCAGATCCTTGCAAGATTGGCACCCAAGGTTGATCTGCAGATGCAATCGGAAATGCCAGCACAGCCCCATGGTGTCTGGGGCTGCGTCATCCCAACCACGGGACAGTACATGGGTCAGGAAATTTGCTGGTGAGGGACTGGTGGCAGCAATGATTGCTGCAGCTGTGGGTGTAATTAGCACTGCCATGTGTCCAGCCCTATGGGAAGCCCTGTGGCCCAGATGACACATCTGTGCAGGCTAGATCCGGCCCGTGGGCCAGAGGCTGTGCCCCGCTGTTCTAGTGGGTTTGACCATTACTGTGCCCGGCAAAAAGATCTGTGATCCTGCTCCTAACACATCGGGTACCAGTAAAAAAAACAACAAACCTTTCCTCCCCTGTGCAGGTTTTCCTTGCAGTTGGCTTCTTGCACCTATTTGTGGTCTCAGTCAGTGTCCAAGGCAGATGTTTACAGCGGGGGCCGGGGATCTAGTCCAGTGAAAACTAGGCTAGAGAAATCTCCCTGCCACCATCCTCTCTTGGAAAAATGTGGTTAAGATCGATACATGAGTTTGAGAACTTCTAGATCCTGAAGGCCCCTGCTGTGGCCCTGAGTTTGTCGTGGGTGCCACCAGGGTGGCAGTACTTTCTCCTTTCCAGCCCCACCATCCTCTCCTATGCTGGAAAGCTGCTGACTCCCAATGCCAGCCAGTCCCATTAGAAACACGGTGATTTTCTCAGCCTTCCTTCCCTGGGGGGATGTCAGCAGTGTCTTAAAGTCCTAGTCCCTGGTGCGGATCTCAGCCTGTATTACCCCCCAATGCTTCCACTGCAGCCAGTTCTGATGTCCTGGCTTTGGATGGGAAATCGGCCAGCAGGACCAACTGCACGTGTGCAGACACACGCAGCAAAGTGAAAAGGGAAGGGAGGGAGTGGTACCCAGGGTGCCCTTCTAGCACTTGGAGCACAGTGTGGAAGTGAGTGGCCTTGCAGCAGGCTCCGGTTCTTCTAACGTGTTCACTGTTGATCCCCAGGAGCACTACATCGCCAGCCTGATGCCTCTGCAGAGGGCCATCACACCGTGGAAGGTAGGGGCGGCGTGGGCTGCTGGGACTTGATTTCCAGATGTGGGTTGGGAATGGCTGCACACTTGTGCCGATTGTTTTCTTTGCAAATGGCCCTGGTGGCCCAAATTGCAACAAACTGCTCATGTATGGGGAAAACAACTCCAGGCCCAGACCTGCCGAAATCTTGGCCTCGAGGGGCTAAAATTTACTCCCCCACCAAGCAGGTGGGACTGCTATAGGAAGGATGTAGTGGTCTGTGGCCCACTGTGCACAAGAACAGGGTTGTTGTCCCTGGGAAAAGGAGTTTGGATGAATGTTGGAAATGGAGGCTTGCTGTCTGCAGTGATTTTTTTTTCAGCTCAGCAAGGTTGCTAACAGGTCTGCAGCTAGGATTGTCCTAGCAGAATTGCAGGAGATGTATGCTTTTGGGTATTGCTAGCTCTCATGGGTTTTGGATGCATCCTGCATAGACTGCTCCTAGCAAGTCTGAACCCCATGCCCGATGCACCTCCTAGCTGCCTGGTGACGTTCTCTCTGTTGCACAGAATCCTCCCCAGATCCGGCCTTTCCGACAGGAAGATTTCATGAAGACCCTTGAGCATGCTGGTCCCCAGCTCACCTGTGTCCTGAAGGGGGACTGGTTAGGTCTCTATCGGTAAGAACGTGGGGTCAGTTGCCTTTTCCCCGCAGTGGGAACTGGCTTATAATGCATGTACCTGCCAGATTCTGCTTTGGATGTAGTGAAAGGAGAGGGCAGCACAAGGACAAGCCTGGTCACTTGGGAAGCTTGATGCCAGGAAGAAATTGGCTAACTAATACTGGCCAAGGGCAGCAGCAGAGCTTATTTCCTGTTACTGATTCAAAACCGCTGAAAAGAGTTGGAGCTGGCAGGCTTTCGGCCTGTAAAACCTCCTGCTTTGAGGCCTGTGTTAATTAGTGACTGATAGAACCGAGGAGAAACTTCCCCCATAGGCACACTTACTCCATTGCTGCCCTCCTGGCACTGGCAGGACACTGCACTATACAGGTCCTGGGTCTGGTCCAGCATGACATGACAGTCGTTGTGCCTTTGCTACCTAGCCCCAGCCCTGGCGTGACTGTAAGGTGCTACAGGATCTTTAGGAAATGGTGGGGTGGGAGGGTCCCCCTCACTGTTGTAAGAAAATAGAGCTGTGAGCAGGGAGGGGGAGCCTTCACCAGAACCAGGAGGGAGGAGAAAAGGATCTGAAACCTGGTACTCAGTGAGAAGGGAGGCTTGGTGCCAAAGGAGACCCAGAGAGTCAGACCGTGTGTTGGAAACACCCTTTTAGTAGGACGTGAGATCAGAGTGCAGCAGAGAAACCCCCCCCTGCCATTTGCCAGGGCCCCATGTCCTTTCCTCTGTCTCACCTCAGCTCCATCTCTCCCCTCAGGCGTTTCTTCAAGTCTCCCAACTTCGATGGCTGGTACCGTCAGAGGCACAAGGAGATGACCCAGAAGCTGGAGGCTCTGCACTTGGAGGCCATCTGTGAGGCGGTACGTTCCAGCAGCAAGAACACGTGCTGGGTTTCTGGTGCTTAATACCTGCAGGGGAGGGCTGGTACATCCGGGGCCAGGGCTTTCAGAGGTACAGTTGGGTTTGTGTCCCTGGGGAGCAACTCTGCCTCCAAGGGAGAAAGGAGGACCCAGGAAACTATAGGCCCATTACTCTTACCTCGGTCCTGGGGAAGCTCTTTAAGAAAATTATCGAGGAGCACATCTGCGAGGGCCCAGCAGGGGAGTGTATGCTCGGGGCAACCAACATGGGTTCATTTGAGGCAGGTCCTGTCAGACCGACCTGGCGGCCTTCTACGACCAGGTCACAAGATCCTTGGACACAGGTGTTGCAGTGGACGTAGTCTTTCTGGACTTTAGAAAGGCCTTTGACACTGTCTCTCACCCCATTCGCATTAAAAAAATTAGGCGACTGTGGTGTTGATGCCTACAGAGTCACATGGGTGGCAAATTGGCTGGAGGGCCGCACCCAGAGCGTGGTGGTGGACGGGTCATTTTCAACCTGGAGGGATGCGGGCAGTGGGGTCCCCCAGGGCTCAGTCCTTGGGCCCGCACTGTTCAACATCTTCATCAGCCACTTAGACGAGGGGGTGAAAAGCACCTTGTAAAAGTTTGCGGATGACACTAAGATGTGGGGAGAAGTGGGCACGCTAGAAGGAAGGAATAGGCTACATCTAGATCTGGACAGGTTACAGAGGTGGGCGGATGAGAGTAGGATGGGATTCAACACTGACAAGTGCAAGGTGCTGCACCTGGGGAGGAAGAGCCAGCAGCAGACCTACAGGCTGGGGAACTCCCTTCTCATCCGTGCAGAGGCAGAAAGAGACCTTGGAGTCATTTCCCCCTCTATGTGACACTGGTCAGACCACAGTTGGAGTACTGCGTCCAGTTCTGGGCGCCGCACTTCAGGAGAGATGTGGCCAGCATGGAGAGGGTCCAGAGGAGGGCCACCCACATGATCAGGGGGCAGCAGGGCAGGCCCTACGAGGAGAGGCTATGGGACCTGAACCTGTTCAGCCTCCACAAGAGAAGGCTGAGGGGTGATCTGGTGACTGTCTATAAACTTACCAGGGGGGACCCCCCGAGCACTACCGGGAGTAACTAGGAACAACGGCCATAAGTTGATGGAGAGTAGGTTCAGACTAGACATCAGGAGGCACTACTTCACAGTCAGGGTGGCTAGGATCTGGAACCAACTTCCAAGGGAAGTGTTGCTGGCTCCTACCCTGGGGGTCTTCAGAAGGAGGCTAGATAGACACCTAGCCGGGGTCGTTTGACCCCAGCATTCATTCCTGCCCATGGCAGGGGGTCAGACTTGAAGATCTGCTCAGGTCCCTTCTGACCCAGCTACTAAGCATGGCCACCACAGCATGACTTGGGGCTTGGATCGGCCCAGCCTTCCCAGCAGCCAGCATACATCCTGTGCTGGGTCCTGTGGGCAGCTGCTGCTCATTTGTTGTAAGACTGGGGCAGACCCTAGGTTCATCTTGCTCAGTCTCCTGTGTCACACAGCCGCAGAGAAGGGCAGCTGGAAGAGAGTGACTGGGTCTGACCAGGGTTTTTTCCCCCCCTTTCTTCCCCCCTTGCAGCCTCCAGTATGTAAAGCATGGGAAGCTGTGATGCAGAGGCCGCGCTGATCACTCCCGTGCTCCATAGCTCCTGCTGCCCCTTTCCTCCAAGCATGTGTCTAATCCCTTTTTGAACCTGACTAAACTGTCAGCGTCCCCACCATCCCTTGGCAATGAGTTCCACACTTTAGTGAGTTTCCATGCTGTGGGGAAAAAAACCTTCCCTTAAACTGCGGCCTGCCTGGTCCATGCTGTGACCTGTCGTCTTTGTCTGGGGAAGAGACAGGCAACAATCGATCCCCAGGGACTTTCTCTTGGCCATTTTGTGTGTTGGGACCCCTTCTCCTGCCCCCTCCAGCATCCCTTCTGCCCTGCCCAGGCCTGGCCTCGTGAGTCTCCTCCTAGGGAAGCCCCTCCATAGTGCTTCTCATCCTCACTGCCCGTCTTTGCACCTGCCGTAGCTCTTCTGTCTCCTCTTGGAGGTGCAGGAGCCAGAACTGGGCACAGCGTTCAAGGTGTGGCCATCCCATGGATTTATAAAGGGGCATCGTGATACTTTCTGTTTTGTTACAATTCCCTTCTTAATCGTCCCTAAGAAGCAGGCTTTTCAGGCCCTTCCAGAGCCGAGCGAGCCCCAGGTGGGATCTGCCTCCTGTTGCTCGACCCCTTGCTGCCCGAAGCCCCTGCAGCGATTCCCCGCGGTGCGCGCGTTCAGCTGAGCGGCCTGATGGGACGGTCCCGGTGCTGCTGGCCCCCACCTGAGTGTCTCCTACCTCTGCAGTGCCTGGTGCTCCACTGCACAGGGCAAGGCTGCAGGGACACCTGAGCTGCTGCCTCCTTAAACAGCCCTGCCAGGCACACCCTGAGCAGAGCTCGGCTTAGTGTGCGAGTGTGACGGGACCCCGAGGCGGCCAAGGCCGTGAGGGTACAAACTCCCTTCAAGGCAAGATCCTCAATTACAGGACCGCTAAATTGAGAGATGTAAAAAACCCCAAAACCTGACTTCAGTAATTAGGGAAAATGCTACCATGGACCTCTTTCCCCACCCCCAGCATCTAAAAAGAGCCAGAGCACTCGGGATATGGCCCTTCCAGCACCATATGAGGCCAAGTTATTAGCCAGGCCCCCTCCAGCCCCCCTGCCTTCCAGCTATTAACCCTTTCCCTGTCAGAACAATCCCCCCCTCAAAACCCTTTCAACGTATGCTGTCGGGCGCTGGTCAGGGCACAGCTCTGCCAGGACCTGCCCCGTTCTCCTCCCGTGACTTCCCTTCTCTTCCTGCAGAACATCGTGGCCTGGATGAAAGACAAGTCGGAGGTGGAGATTGTGGACCTGGTTCTGAAGCTGCGTGAGAAGCTGGTCAGTTTTTCCTACCTGTTTGGATTCCAAGTGGAGACCCCTGGATCACACCTTCCCTTTAGATGAGTGGGCTCCTGCTGCTTCTCTGGGCTGGAGGGACTGGATGGGGGGCAGAATCCACCAGGACTGGCCACGAGACCCCCTTACATAGGCTGAAGGGACCCTGTCGCTCTCCTCAGCCCCACAAAGGCAGCAGTTCCCAAGGCCTGTAGATCACACCCACATGAAGTGATAGCATGGGGCTTGCTTAGGTTAACCGCGGAAGTGGAACGGGTTGCTTGGACCCCGTGATATAGAACAGGTGGCTGATGTGTGGCCCATGGCAGATTGTGTAGGGGACTGGCAGTGCAGTGGGAGATGGAGCAGAAAGCAGAGCAGCAAACTGGGCAAGTAGCACAAAGAAGGAAGCAGAGCAGCAGATCAGGCAGGGGAGGGTACAGGGTTAATTTGTGGCACACCTGCCAAAAGTTGGCCCGTATTAATGACAACACCCACGCAGTGATTACTGTTACAGGTGTTTGCAATCGCAGAATCCCAGAGCCAAGGGGAGCTGCGCCGGCCGGCTGGCCGTCACCCCTGGTCCAACCCTGCCTGAGGCAGGACCAGCCCTGTGCAAACACCTTAACAAACCCTTGTGTCAACTCATTAGATCAAAATACTTATAACTGGCTTACTGAGGAAGATCCTAGCTGTCTGGCTCCGGCAGATCAGCTCGTGCTAGCCAAGCATTCATCTTTCTTTCCTCTCTTTTATCGCCCTGCATTTCTCATCGCGTTATATTCTTCTGAGTTCAGACCTAGCTGAAAACTGTTCTTATTGAGGGCAGGTGACAGAACAAGGAGCAATGGGCTTAAGCTGGAGCAAGGGAAGTTGAGGTTGGATATTAGGCAAAACTTTCTCACGAGGAGGGTGGTGAAGCCCTGGACCAGGGTCCCCACAGAGATTGTGAAGCCAGGGGGTCCCCCTGTCTGTCTCATCTCAAACCATGGATTCCTGCAATTGTCGTGCTTGTACCCGACCAAACAACCCATCACCTCTGACTGCATTTCCTAATTCCTACAGGCCCCCACGGTTACAGACTCTCCCTCCTCTCCTTCCCCCCTGCAGGTGAGAGCCAGGTGCCATCACCTCCCTGTGAAGGAGGAAACGCTGCAGCGGGTGGGCCTCTACATTGAGACCATCATCGGCTCCCTGCCCGAGGACCTCCAGACAGTGCTGCACCACCCCTAAGCCTGGGCACCAGGACTCTGCGGGGAGGAAAGGACCCCGCTCAGAGCTGTGGGCAGCTGCCGCTGGGCTCGGTAAGCGAGCAGTTTTCGAAAGCCAGCTAGTGCCACACTGACCTGGACTCTGCCCGCTGGTGCGTGCGGGTTCAAGTGCAGAGTGCGATGGGACTGCACAAGCCTTACGAGTGCAGCATTTCCTGGCCACCCCTGCTCCCCCCGAGGAGCCAGAGTGGGAGTTTGGGGGGCCTCATGACGCAGCCAGGCCATCTGCGTTGCAGCAGGGCCGAGGGAAGGCAGCCAGGCTCCCAGCACCCTTTGCTAGGCCATGTAGACCGTACATCTTGCTGACAACGCACCATCCTTGTGATCACACTACTGCATTACCGCTGTCGCCTCCATTGTGCCCGCCGCCCTAGGGACAGGACCTGCTGTGGGCGAGGACCCGCTGGACGCTCCAGCTCCCAGCGAGAGGCAATTCCAGTCCCCTGCTATACCTGGTCCATGGCAGCCCGGCTCTTCGGTAGCTGTGTGGACCTGAGTCAGTGTCTCGTCGCAGAACTGATGGCCTTGCTGCTGTCAAAAGCAGGACTGAAGGGACGTGGACAGGCGTGCCTGGAGGAACAGGCTGTGCACTGCTCAGATCATCCCTCTCCTCCCTGCTCTTCTCACTGCGTCAGGGGCTGTGTTGCGAGACCTTGGCATCCAGCGGCGTTTTGCTGTCGCCTAGTCAGGTGCAGTCCTTGGACCGTGGCTTGTCTGTGTAGCGGGGACCTTCAGCCAAGCCGTGGGGTTGTGCTCTGGGGAGGCAGGGGCGATCCCTGCCACCTTTCGCGGTGCCCTGTCCATCTCTGCCCTCCATTGGACTGTTTCTGATGTGGGGTGGGGGAGCTGGCAAAGCACAAGCCTGCCTGCTCCGTCCTGGCAGCTTCCCCTTCTGAATCGGGACCTGGAGACACTAGAAGAAAGCGGAGCAGGGGAGTGGAGGCAGCTGCTTCCTCTAGCCCTGTGCTTGCCTTTGGTTCTGTGGGGCTGCCTTCTCCGCAGCTGGGCCAGGACGGCACTGTGTTGAAATGACTCCTGTATAGTAGTAAAGGGTAGTTAAAAAAAAAACCTGCCTCCTGTCTCAGGACCTTACTGGGAAAGGGGGTCCATGGCAGGGATGGCTGGGACAGCCAGGGCCCTGGGTCCCTGGACAGTGGGGGCAGGTGTGCCACCCCCCCGCAGTGCCACTCTGATCCCCTTCCCCTGCCCAGGCTGCTGCTCTGCTTTCTACTCCCAGCTGGCAGCCACATTACTGGGCCCGAAGCCAGACTGTCCTGGTATTGCCTGCCGCGCTGGGCACTCGCGGAGCAGCGGAGACAGCAGTTGCTGTCCCCAGCAGGACGCGGACCAGCCTGGGCCATGCCGCTGCCCGGCCTAGCAGTGGTGGCACACGCACCACGCCTGGGCCCCATCCTGCCCTCCTGGGAAGTAGGGACTCACTTGAGTGATGGGGCCACCAGCCAGGTGTATATCAGCACGGACACCTAGGAGGCGAGTGCGAGATGTGGGCTCGCTCCTGCCCTGAGCAGCAGTGGGGAGCTCGGCCCGGCTGGGACAGCAGCTGGCAATGGAGCAGAGCAAGAGCCGGAGGGGATGTGTGTCCTGCTTCCCCCCTCCCCGGAGCCAGCACCAGGTCTCAGCTGGAGCAAAGGGCTAGTGTCCCAGTCCTTGAAGCAGCTGGTGCGTGTACCTCCCCATTGCAGTGCACCCCAAGACACAACTGGGTGTTTTGCCTCATGCCCCCAGTGTGCCTGGCTCTACCACCACAGGTGCCAGGCCAGAGGCCCCAGGCATGGGATGAAGGCCTGGGGATCAGGCCACCCCCGGAGCATGGGCTGTGGTCCTTCTAAACCCATCCCTGGGAGCAGCTGGCTGGGACTGTGTCTCTAGCCCATCCTGCTGGGACCACAGCAGGGATTTTGCTGCCTGGGATGGAGGAGAGGTGCATGCACTGCTCAATGCACTTTGGGGCTGCGAGGCAGGCAGGGGCCTCCTGCCCATCTGCCCTGGACGGGGCTCCAGCCAGGTGGGGGGGAACAGGCCCGAAGGCACCCGGTGACCCCTGCCTGTGATGGGCCCAAGCCCAGCAGGCAGGTGGTACCCAGGCTACCCACAACGGGTACCTGGCTGTCACGCAGTGCCAGTGCCGGCCACTGGTCTTGCCGTGGCTGTGGCCTCCATAGCGGCCTCCACTGAGTTGGGAGTCCGGCTCAGCTGGCAGCAGCCCTGGCCCCTCTCTATGGTGCCCAAGCAGTACTGGGCTGGCCCCCAGCCTGGCGTGGGCATGTGTGGCTCTGCCAGGTGCAGCTGGAGGAACTGGCCTGATCAGATCCTGCTGGCTGTGGGAGGACCAGAGCTGGTGCCTCCCCGTGGTGCACAGCAGTTGTGAGTACTGTGGCGTGCACGGATGGGACCCAGGGTCCTTGCTGGAGGAACGAGCAAGACCCCTGCTTGGGGTCCTTGCTGGCCCCCTGCACCTGGCCTGGGGGAGCCAAGACGGGGCGTGTCTGCTCCACCTCCCTGCTCCGCAGGGCCCTTTCCAGGGCCTGGCTCCCTCCCTCCAAGGTGTGGGTACAAGCAAGGCACAAGGGAGGGGCTGATCCTCCCTCCCCACTTTAGCAGATGTTTTGCTGCCCCTGGTCCAGCCCTGCTCTGGGCTTTCTACCCCTTTGGCCCCCACGGCTCTTGGCAAGGTGGGAGCAAGCATTATCACTATGTTCCAGATGGGGAAACTGAGGCACAGACTGGCAGAGGGGTTTCCCCACCCGAATAAGGGATTCCAGGTCCCCGCCCCGCTGCAGGGGTGACGGCCTGTGCGTGGAAACAAGGCAGCATGGAGAGGAGTGGTAATCACAGCGCACGGAAGGAGGCCAGGTGCCGACTGCGCCTCCGGCAGCCCCACCGCCGCTGGGCGACGCACAGAAGGATGCTCGCTCGCTGCTGCCGGGAACACAACGCACCTTTAATGAGACCCATGTACGACCGCCGGAGCTCATGACTGCATGTGCGCCCAGCAAATCGTCCAGTCCAGACCTCCTGGTGCTGCTGGCAGAGCTGTCCGAGGGAGGGCAGGAGCTTTGCTGTTTGCTGGACCAAACCTTGGCTTGTGGAAACCAAGAAGCTCAGCCTTGGACACGAGCCCCGGTCCCGGGGCCAGCCGGCAGCCCTGGGAAAGGGGCCGCAGGGATGGCCGGATACATTACACCGAAAGGGGCAAAAGAAACCCATTGCAGGGCAGAGAACCTGGATAGGCCCTACTAATACTGCTCACCAGCAGCACCGGGATGCCCCGGCGGCAGGAAGCCCACCACGGTGCCCAAGAGCAGCGCCTGATCCCCTCCCGATCGGAGGAATGAGGTGGCAGCACTCGGCAGGTCCCAGCGCGGATACCCCAAACTGCCGAGGGATGGCAGAGCCAGTAGCGCCATTCACCCCTGCCTCATGTGCCCCGACCTGCCGCAGCAACACCACCCTGCCCTGGCGGCGCGTATGCAGCGCTCGAGGGGCCTTGTGCAACCATGGAGCAGGCAGTCCTGGCTTGGCAGTGCTGGTCCTTGATGGGGAAGAGGGGCAGGGAGCAAGAACACTGCAGTGGCAGCAAATGGAAACGCTGCTGCTTTTGGGAGGGAGGTGGAAAAAAAGGGGGACAAACTGAAGCACGGGGGGGGGGCCCAGGGGCAAGGGAGACCGCGACCCCAGGCACAAACTGACTTCAGTGGGAAGGGACGATCCCAGCTTGGCTCGTTACCGAACTAGAGCGGAGAGGGCTCTCGTGGCCTGTGTGCCCCTCTGCGCTAGCCAAGCTGCATGGCTGGCACCACGATCCTTCCCCAGAAAGGCGGCAGTGCCCGCTGGAAAGGGAGCAGGACTAACTGGAAGTCCCCACTACTTTTGCTCCTGTTTCCTGGCAGGATCTTCTTTCCCACGACCCCGTGAGGAGGCAGCCGCAGCCCATCTCCCCAGGGACTTTGCTCCTGACCAGGCTGGTGCATGGTCCCTTCACCCATGGCTCTCAGGATGACAGCAGTGAGGCCTGAAGTATGCGCAGGCGCTCCAGAGCTACAAGACTCCCTGGTCTTGGGAGAAACCACTTCTCCTGCCCTCCCCTGCTGCTTGCACTGGCTCTGGGCCCAAGCTGTCACAAAATAAATTAAGTAAAATTATACTTAGAAGCACCCAGGACATGGCACAAGTCTCAGCAGCCTGCAAATGGCTGCCATGGGCCAGAGCATCCCCTTAGCTTTGTCCCCTCGGCCTTCCTTCCTTCCCGGGACAGCGCCTGTCTCCTCCCAGAGGGCTGGGGGCAGAGCAGTGCCTGATCTACCACAGACATACAAGGGATGTGCCCAGAGCCACCCCTCACTCCTCCGGTGTTATAAAGTGCCAGTCAGTGAAAGCTGGGAAAGCGTTTCCCCCCCGTATGAGCCCACGTCCGGCTCCGTGGAGAATCCCTGCCGCGGGGGGGACTTCTTGCTACGTTTCCTCAATCTTCCCCCACACACCTTGGCTGTCCCCACTGAAAACAAGGAGCTGTTGTGATTTTGGCCATCCCGCAAAGCTGCCCAGGATTTCCCTTGCCAGGACAGTGGGAATTACATTTCACCCGTCACCATCACCCTGTTGCTTTTCCCCACACCAAGCGACACGAGCATCACGTCTCCCCATCTCCAAAGGGCTGCTTCCTTCGCTGCTCAAGTGCAGGCCCACGGACAAGCAAGTGACGGGGTCCCCCTATTCCTTGCATGCACGGAGGGTTGGCACAACAGGGAAAGGAGATTTAACACGGCTGGTGACCTCAGTCAGGGTCTCCTCCCCACCCTCCTGTGGATACCCGTAGCAAAGAAATCCGCGGTCCTGGCAAGTGACCAGAGCGATTCCGCCATTAGAGTAGCGCTAAAGGCACTAGTGTAAAAGCTCAGCTTTCTGCTGAAGGCTCCCCAAGCCCCTCGGCGTTTGCCAGGACACATGTTGCACTGCAAGAAGAGGAAGGGCGGCTGGGTCTTCCGGGACAGACAGAAACCAGGAATGTGTTATTAAAAGGGAGGAGTTCAAGTGAGCACGAGGTCTCATCTCTTCCCAGGCAGCCACCAGCTGCCATAGGCCGAGTGTCTCATAACCACTTGCTTCTCTTCCGGACTAAAGTGCAGAATAGTCAATATGGCTGTTAGCGTCTGCTGACGGCCTAGAGAGTCCGTCAAGGTCAAGAACCGGTAGACGATGTTCTTGAGATACTCCAGGTTGGCTCCCTCCCTGCTCTGGTCCCGGACAGTCTTCTGGATACGGTCCTGAAGGACGGACACCTCTTCCCTGTGCTTCTCCCCCTCGACCAGGATCTTCTCCTGCAGCTGGTGGACTTCCGTCTCCAGCTGGTGCTTCTGCTTCCGCAGGGCTGTGATCTCCACCTCCTTGCGAGCCAGCTGCTCGGCGTACAGGAAGAAGGTGGGCTCGCTGGCCGCGGCGATGTGCAGGGCCTGCGTGAGGTTCTCGGAGGAGATGTCACCCGCTAAGCTGTCATCGCCCACGTTACCTCCTGGTCCCAGGTAGCTCTTGGAGCCATGGAGCCCGTATGGCACGGCCACGGCTCTCAGCTGCTCCAGCTCCTGATCCTTCTCCGCCAGCATGGCTAGCGCGCGGTCCCGCTGCTTGTGCATCTCCTCCTCCAGCATGAGGCTCCTCTCTCGGTACTCCAGCTGGCATCTCTCCAGCTCCTGCCGGTGACCCTGCTGCAGGTGGCACAGCTCCTGCTTCCTGGCTTCCAGCTCTTGCTGATGCTGCTTCTCCATCTCCTCGCAGGACAGCCGCAGCGCGACGTACTTCTCCTTCAGCTCTGCCAGTTGCTCCTGAGCCTCCTCCAGCTCCTTCGCCGTGCTGCCGTCTTTGGCCGACTTGTTTTTGAAGACCACTTGGGCCCTCATCTTGTACCGTTCAAACTCCTCCTTCAGCTGCTTTAGTTCCTGCTGGTAGTAGAGGGCAGTGGCCTTCTCCCCGTCCCCTGCCTCGTGGCCCCTCGGCAGCTCCAGTTCACACAGCTTCTCGATGTCCAGAGCTGGCTGGCTCTTCTTAGCCGCTGCCTGCAGAAGCCTCTTCAGCATCTCCATTTTGTCCTTCAGGACGTTGACGTCAAGGTTGGCCTCCTCCAGATGCAGGTCCACGGGGGACCGGCTGGACGCCGCAATAGCCAGGGTCTTGTTCTCCAGGTCCAGCTGCATGATGCGGTCTTTCAGCTTCTGAATCACCAGCTGGTCTTTCTGCTTGGCTCTCTCGTAAGTGCCCAGCAGCTCCGATGCCTCGGAGACCTGCCCCTCCAAGCTGGCCACGCGCCGCTCCTCCATCTGGGCTTGCTGCCGGAGCTGCTCTTCTGCCTGGGCTGTCTGGAAAGAAGAGCACAGATGGGTTTCGTTACTGCCTCACTATACGCAGGGAGCCTCTGTGTTCACGTGCCAGAGCAGCTCCCTCGTCTCTGCTACCACATCTGCTGTTTCAAGCCTTCTCTCCCCCCACCCACAGAAATGAGGAAGCCACTTAACCCAGGGGTGCTCAACCCCTAGCCAGTGGGCCAAATCCCTGAGCGCACCATGACTCTCACTTGTAGGGCACAGGACACATCGCTCCTGGGATGTTTCCACCAACAGAAGTGCAGGATCTCTCACTGTGGCACGGCCACTGGCCCCCCCAGCCGGATCTGCTGCTGCCACAGGAAGGCTGACACGCTCAAAGTGCATCTCACCAGCCGTTCTGCACGGAGCCAGGGAAAAGGGGAGCTGCTGAGGCCCAGAAGCCGGAGCGAGCAAAGCCCTAATCTTTTCCCCTTCTCTTCCGAGTTATTCATCTCGACGTCACTGATGGGGAATTCTGCAGAAAGCTACGTTAAAAGTAGCTTCCCCTTCACGGCGGTGCCCGCACTGAACTTTCTGCCCTAGGACTTTGGAACCTATTACAAAGGCAAGATGCGAGGTGCTGCCCCACGGCCGCGGGACGACGCGTCATCCGCACCGGGTGGGCAGCTAGAACGAGCGCCACGGGGAAGTGCCGAGACACCACGTTACGGCACGAGGATTGCTTTCCCACCCTCGTCTCCACCCGACCACTGGGGACCTGCCCACTCACGCCTGGTGCTTTGGCTTGTGCGGGACTTGCTAGCCTCGCAGGACACAGGAGGTCCTTCTCACTTGGCACAGTGCGGGGCCAGCCTTTTCGGCCACAAGTTAGCCCCACACCTTCCCCGAGCGCTGCTCCGATCCCCTTCCCATGCCCGTTCTGCTGCTCTGCTTTCTGCTTCCTCCCTTGTGCTCCCTGACCAATCCAGTGCTCTAATAGCTGCATAGTTATTAGGGGCTGGAAGAGACCTTACAGCTCACTGGGTCCAGCCCCCTGCACGTAGGCAGGAAAGACCGCTGGGAGCGTGTTTGCTCCCAGCCTGATCCACTGCTCTGCTTTCTGCTTCCTTCAGTGTCCTCCTTGCACGATTTGCTGCTTTGCTTTCTGCTCCCAGCCCTGCGCTTCCTGTCTGATCTGCTGCTCTGCTGCCTTCTCCCTGTTCTGCCACGTACCACAGGGTGGCCCCCGCTAACACAGAAAATGGTGTTTTTTTTTTAAATCTCTTACTCATAGTATCATAGGATTTAGGGTCGGAGGGGACCTAAACCGATCACCACGTCCGACCCCCTGCCCTGGGCAGGAACGGGTGCTGGGATCGTATCGCCCCAGCCTAATATCTGCCTAGTCTCCTCTTGAAGACCAAGGGGCTGGACTCGATGATCCTCCAGTGTCCCTTCCAGCCCAAATGTCTATGAAAGGTAGGAGAGAGCACCACCTCGCTTGGGAGGCACGAGATGCAGGGTGTCTACCGCCTGATCTGCACTGCAACACCCCCCCGCCCTCCCCCGGGGTCCCCGCTGCCGCCCCGGGGTCCCCGCTGCCGCCCCGCTCCTACAAGCGGGCGGCCGAAGCAGGAGCGACAGAGCCACCTTTCTCATCTCTTGCAGCAGCTGCGCTTGGAAGTGATGCTTGAGGCTGCCCATCTCCTCCCGCAGGGTCTGCAGCCGGGGGTCCGGCTT